CCCCGGAACCCGCAGTGAACTCGAGAGGAGATGGATTCCTAGGGAAGGCTCCATGGAAGTGTGGAGGTGGAGGATGCATCTGAGCCTGACCCATCATATTCATGGGCCTGCCATCAAAAGGCCTTTGGAAACCTTGATTGGGGTTCTGGTTACTATGATGGAAGAATGGTCCAGGGTGAGTTCTGTCTTGTCTTCCCATTTGATGGTTTGATGCTGCGAAGTCTGGAGTAGGTACTGGTGATACGACAGGCCGAAAAAGTAAAATCGCCTCGTGACTGGGAGTGGAGGTCTCAAAGGGGCTATTTGTGCCTGACTGCCGCTTGTGTTTGCAGGACCTGGGGCAGGCGCACGAAGATGCAATTGATGGAGGCACTATGCCAGGAGTTGATCCAACTGGAGAGAAAGCTGGAGGTGGCCCTCTCATTTGATCAGGTGTTGAGGGTAAGGTGACTGCGGTGATGCCCCACCAGGAAATGCTACTGAGGAAGGACCTTGAGGCGCAGCTGTGGGAAAAGACTGAGCTCCGCCAGGAGGCCTGGAAACCAATGGTGCTGAACCAGTGAAATTTGGTACTGGTGGATGCTGGCTGCGTACATGGTGGGCATATTTGATGGTGTCAATGCAATGGGACCTTGTGGTGGAGTTGCACCGACAGGAGAGACAGAAATAGGGTCGTCTCCACTGCCATAAAAAGTTGGTGAAGCTTGCAGAGGCCTCTGAGATTATGGCATAACAGGAGAAAAAGGTGGCCAACCACCAGATGGATGGGGTATTTGAAGAGGTCTAACTGGCGGTGGCATTGAGGAAGATGGTGTCATGTGGGGCTTACAATACCAGGCGGATGACCAAAAGAAGGCCCAATTGAGGAGTTATTAGCTCGAAATTGAGGTGGATGTTGTTGATTGCTTGGTGTTGATTGCTGAGGCCCAGGAACAGGAAATGGATTTCTTGGCATGCTATTCATGTGGAGGAGGTTGACCTGTATATGGAGGCATACTAAAAAGAACCAGCAGGCGGTTTGTGGCTGCAATGAATTGTTAGGTAATGTACTCAAAACAGGCCCGTAGAAGGTATTGATGGAGCATTGGTCTGGGGTGTGGGCAGCCAAGGAGCATTGTGTGATTGGTAATGAAGTAAATCTGGCTGTGAAGTGGTATTCTGCACCAGTTGCACATTTGCTGAAACTGCATCCTTGGAGGTAACTGCTGAAGGAACAGCAGTAGTTGTTGAAGTAGCTGTTGACTTCACCTAAAAGGTCCAAATGACTCCATGGTCAGTTGACAACAAACTGATTTTGAGGGGGAAGAAAGGCATGCTGGACTTACAGAAACAGGAGCAAGAAGCAGCTCAATCAACACAACTGCAGCATCTACTTTATCATAAGAGTCAGCCGATACATTGATGTATAGGTCTTCATAAGCATCTTGTACTTCATTTATGTCTTGATGACCGAATCTCACTCTGAGCATGACAAAAAAAAAGGTGCTTCATTTGTCTATTGTGTTGAAGTTGCTATAGAAGTTATTTACTATAAGGACAACACACAACAAAATGATGTGCTGTAGAATGAACATCAAGATAAATAAAAAATTATGACAAAAGGACTGCAAAATGGAACAGGACATTTAAAAATCGCTCTGAAAATTATCTTAGCAAAATATACCTTTTCTCCATTGATTTTCTTAGTCCCATATACTCGAATGACAGCTCCAGTTTCCTGCCATGTGTGAATGAAGCCAACAGTTTAACAAATATAGACTGCTCTCAGGGATGTTTCAACAAAATAATATCATAAGATTTCCAAGAATAGACCATACTTCATGCAGTCGCTTCTGGGTATTGCTTTCAGGTCCTAGAAGAACTCCAATAATATTATGTCCTGGATGTGCTTCTGCCTGCAATGGCCAACAGCAGACAGTAAATGTCATGGGCAGTCAGCTAGACCTTATGGGCCAGATCGGAAGTAAGGAAGGCTCATTAGGGTTAGGATTAGAGAGAAGATTAGCCACCTTTGTTAGGAGTCAAGTAAATCTCTCTATATATACAAAAAAGGGAGTTGTATTAATTGTAAGTAAGCAAAATTCTGCCAGGAGATATCCTCATCTACCTCAGTCCCAGGCCTTGAGATTGGCCACCGTCCCCAGCGTGTCCAATCCCAAGTGCTCGGGTTCGCATCCGCTCACCCTACCACCCACAATCACCCAATGTTCTGCACGCCTCTAACCAGGGACATGATGAGAACTTAAAAGATCTATCAAATTTTAACAAAAGGCTAAATATTAATACCAAAATGAAGTATAGCACATCATAGATAAAAAACAGATCAATCAGAAATACACTACTCTTGGAGACAACCCAAGCTGTGATGCATAATTCTAGTACATTACAAAGGAAAATTAAGATAAGCTCCTACTGGTGTACCTCGATTGTCCAAGTACAAGGAACTCTTGAGTATCAGAAATATAGTGGCAAAAGAACCAAAAGGTCAACGGCATCTTTGCATACGAGCAAAACAACTAATTAATGGCTAAAGGTCAAAACAAGCAATAAGCATGATGAGATAGTGACCTTACATACCGGAAGAGGGACTTTTGACTCCTTAAGCACTGGTTTGTAGTTCTCAGGCGTCTTATATCCTGGATTTAAACGGAGTATTTCACCTACAGATAATATGCACCACAGTTAGGACTACAGATTTTCTTGGAGACTAAATAAATATGTTTCACATGGCCAATAACAATTAAGAAGAACCTAACATATTTTTGTTCAAGCAACTACATGCATTATCAAGCAAGATACTACTCGATAAAGGAACCCCATGGCCCCATTAGCACCAAGATGCATTGACTCAGGCACATTTATTTTCACTTCAGTAATTAAACGAAGCACATGAATACAGGAGAAGAGGATAGCTTCTCTGACCAATAAGCTCTCGTCTTTCAAGTTCTAATAGTTCAACATTTCCCAGCTGCAAAAAGAGTAAAAGACGATTACCAAATGGGAGCATATAATTGTTTTATCTTGACACACTATGGGCTCACATCCAAAAAAAATTGCCAAAGTGTAGACCATATGTAGTGGTGACAGCATTCAAATTGGGAATACCTCGTTCTCTTTCAAGATGTCAGAATCAATAGAATTCAAATCATTTCCAGCAGACACTGAACCATCAATTTCGGACGTATCCAAAGTTCCAGACTTCAGCTGCTTGGTAATTTGCTCCACTCGAGTCTGCTCATGAACTAATATGAATTAATGACACCTGGCAATCGAAGCATCGTACATGAGAGAATCGCAAGAAAAATGCCCATTTCTGTCCAGTCAGTGGGGAGGCTGGGCTTATCCTTTCAATAAAAGTATTAAAATAATGATATTTTTAGCCTACCCTCCAAAATAATGCTCACTCAATAGTGAGTTGTTCAGCATTCCTGTTCTAGTCAAAGGAAGTGAAGTATGAAGCAAGTCCTAAATTTCTAAAGGGTTACAAAATGTGTGCATACTATCCTTGCTTAATTTTTTAATGTAGATTGACACAGGTACCAGGCTACCAAGAGAAAGAAATATTTTAAGAAAAGACCCTCAAGTTAGACATCCTTTTGACTGGAAGTAATATGGAATTATTTAGAACTGTCTCAGGCTATTTCCAAGGATTATTTTTACTGAGAAAAGGTAGCATAATGTAACCAGTAGGTACAAGTTGAACTAAACATATCACATCAATCAAAATGCAAAAGATGATAGTGGTGCATATAACAATGGATGCCAAGAGATAGAGCAGGCTAGAAGCGTAAACCCATGGAGGTGAAAGAGGAGAGTGATAAGAGATAGTACGATACCTGGTAAGCCAAAGCCCTTCCTTTGCACACCGACGGGTCCAAAGCGAGGTCAGGCGCCCACTTTGTCTTTCTCTGAACATGTCTGCTGCTATTTTCGCTGGATGCAGCTGGCGTTTCATTCTTAGCACTGGTGCTCTCGGATTACGAGTGAGCCGGCTAGCTTGTTCTTAGGTATAACGAATCCAGCTTTTGCCCCAAACATTGAGATCTTGGGGTCAAAGACGATGGCGCTGTGGATTTTGCTTGGCGATGCTCCGCAGAAGAATGGTCAAGTTTTGTGGTCATCTACAATAGGGAGGACCCATTAAAGGGAATGGGTGCAAACATGTACACCCGATATGTTTTGAACAATCAAAGTTAGTAAGTAGTCATAATACATAAACAATCAAAGTTAGTAAGCATAGTACATGTATACACTTCTAATTAGATCAGACCCGGAAACAAGGTTTGGGCCCAATGGAATTGTTAAGAAATGAGAAAACTGGTACTCCTATAATATTGCTGATACAGGATAAGAACTAGAATATACAGTTCATGTCTTGCAAATATGGGTCAGTTCAACTTAACCTGGTCATCAGTTCAAGAGAACAACACAATACAGTGCCAGATATGCGATTCTAGACAATCCTGACCATGCGCATGGAGCAAATTCGCATCTAGAATATGTGGCCCTTCCCACAAAACAGAGCTCGAGATCTCCTGATTTACTGCTACACAGGGGCGGACCCAGTAAAGGACATGGGTGTACACATGTACACCCAATAATTTTTGCAAAGCAATCGAAGTTAGTAGGCATATACATGCATATACACCTGTAATTAGATTCAGATCGGATTACGACTTTACCTATGAATTACTTAAGGTTTGGGCGCACGGCTTCGCACAGCGGGAAGGGAGGACCAAGGGGAGGGAATACCTAGTGTCCTGGTGGTGCTCGTCGCCGGCCAAAGTGGCGAGTGGCGAAGTAGGACAGCAGCGACGGTCGCAGGGACACCGGGGCTGCAGAGAGCGGACGCCGTGCCGGAGATGGTCGCGAGGACGCTGGGCCCCAGGTGGTGCTCGACCGAGCGCAGTCTCCTCTCCGGGTTGCGGCGCGGCGAGCGGATGGAGGCCGCGGGCGAGACGAGTCCAGGCGGCGGGCCAAGGGTCGAGCAAGGTTAGCGTGCGGGTAAGGGCAATTTAGTCCAGAAATTTCTAACCTTACCTCTCTCTCAGCTTCTTGTGGCTAACTCTGGGCATAATTAACCGAAGACCGAACCAAAAAGACCGAGACCGAGACCGAAAAGTTCGGTCATGAGTTCGGTCCTGGCTCCCAACTAACCGAAGTAACCGATAGAAGTTCGGTCATATGTGTCGGTTAACCGAAGTGACCGAACTGACCGTAGTTCTCTAGACTTCGTTCGTAATGTCATTATGTGTGATTGTGATTTGTGAGAACTGAAAAAGTTGTGGGCTAGAACTTGTCATAATAATGTGTGGTTTGTTTTATATATTATGTTGTTATTTTTTGCCTTCAAATAGCAAGCATGCTGTTGAAAATTGCTATAGATTCTGCTATTGTTTGTGGCTGCTACTCAGGTCCGGTTAGTTCGGTCGTGACCGAGACCGAACCGAACTAACCGAGACCGAACTTCTTCGGTCTTCGTTTTTTGCAAAGATCGATCCGTCCCAGGTTTCTGATGACCGAACTGACCGAATGACCGAGGAACCGAACCGATCGGTTCGGTCTGACCGAATGCCCAGGGTGACTTGTGGCCAACTTCACGTGCGGGTACAACACACGCCGGTCAGCGTGCCGCCGCTGTGGTGCATCTCGGCCTGGTTTAGATCGCAAGTTTTTTCACTCTCTCTCCATCACATCACATCTTTGAACATATGCATGGAGTATTAAATGTAGATAAAAAAAATAACTAATTACATAGTTTGATTGTAAATTACAAGACGAATCTTTTGAGCCTAGTTAGGTCATAATTGGACAATAATTATCAAATACAAACAAAAGTGCTATAGTACCAAATACTGATTCCTAACCGTAATCTAAACAAGGCCCTCGTACGAAACGGGAGAGAGAGGAAAGGGAGAAGAGGAAGGAGATGAAGGCACTTTAGGTGGTGTTTGGTTTCGGCGATTTAAATTTAGGAGGTATGTTGGAAGGATGTTGCATAGAGTGTTTGGATGTTAATAAAAAAATAAATTATATAATCCGTCGGTACTTCACGAGATGAATTTTTTAAGCCTAATTAATCCGTCATTAGCATATGTTACTGTAGCAAACATTGTCAAATCATGGCTTAATTAGGCTTAAAAGATTCGTCTCGCAAATTAATCGCAAACTATGTAATTAGTTTCGTAATTAGTCTATATTTAATATTCCATGCATGCGTCCAAACATTCGATGGGACCGCGACTAAAATTTAGGAGGTCCAACCAAACACCAGAAATTAGGATAATTGCATGAAAGGGGTGTACTAAAAACTTTTGGAGATGTGTGAAATTATAATGGCACGTTTTTAATATCTAAATAGTAATGGTATATCTCTCCAAACCGTGATATTTGTAATGGTATGTATCAATTAACCCTAGAAAAAATGCTATGCGGTATCCATAGGTGACTCGCCTAGAGCTTTGGGGCGCCTAGATATTCTCTAGTGTTCTATACATCTACATATATTATTATCTTATTAAATAAATAAAAACAAGAAATTATGGACTTAAAGTTATATAGAAATAGAAATGTTAAAAAGGCCTAGTCCACCTTACCTACGGTACCTTATCCTTCCTGACCTAAGTCAACACTCCATCTAACCTTATCCATCCACCTCCCGTACCTGTCTCCTCTCGTCCACGCTCCTCACTTGCCGGCGCTGCCTCTATCTCCTTCCAGCTACGATCGTCACCTATGCAACCTCGCGCCCATCGTCTCTGCCTGCCCTCCTCCCACCATCCGCTCGCTGCCTCCAGTTGCGCCCATAGCGTGCCTTCCTCCTAGCCAAGCCTACCGCTAGCCTCCTCCAGGCGCGCTTTCCGCCTCCGCCGCCACCTGTCATCCCTCCCTCAAGCAGCACGGCCCTGGATCTAGGGCACGCCGCCTATTCTCCATCTACCCCCTCAGGCAAGGCGGTGCCCCTCCGACTAGCGCATAAGCGCGCCTAGGCGAGCACCCTGTGGAACATTGGGGCGAGCTCGGCCACGAGGGGAGAGGAGGCAGCCGCCGCCCTCTGCGGATGGATTAGAAGTAGGAAGAACCGACTAAGGAGAGAGAAGAAAGAAAACAGAAAGACTATAGGCTGATAGATGGATCCACATGCCAAGTGTGCCATCTCATGTTTTTGTTTACAAAGAAAACAGAAAGACTATAGGCTTATAGATGGATCCACATGTCAAGTGTGCCATCTCATGTTTTTGTTAACAAATTTGAGGAGTATCATGTGTATCTAAAGGAGTGATGTTCACATAAAAAAATGTACGAGATGAAGGAAGAGCAGAGCATGCCACTAGAGTAGAGGCCAAGATGGCAAAGCATAAAAGATTTAAAGATAGTATCATACACGACTAATAGAGATAAGTATACATTAAATGCTAGTACTAAAGATATCGATGCATATTTGTAGAACTTTCTAGATAAACAATGAGTATATATGAGAATGTCTGTCATGTTTCGTAGCAAGGTCTAGATATTCTTGTATGCTAAAAATATCTAAGAAATAGATAAGTATTAGGAAAAAATATATATTTGTAATACCCAATGTTACAAGACTGTGTCCACCATTGCTACTACAAAATTCAAACCTTGTGAATTATGGTTGGGGATTGGCGCTCACCTTCGGAGCACCGGAGGACGATGCAGCCGGCAGGATGCGGGGGGCGGTGGAGCTGTTACGGATACGAGGCGCCAGCGACGACGGGGTGTGGCTGGGGGCAAGGCTGACTAGGGCGTGGATGCGGCAACACCGCTGCTGGGGCACCCAAAAAAAACTATTGCAGCCGGTATATTTCTTGAAAATAAAAAAGAAAATTGCTTGTGCTGGCCGGTCGTGGCTGTTTTAGTGGGCTAAATTGATCGCTATACTTCAATTTTGGAGAGCCGCGGCCCGTGGTCACGGTGGGGCAAAATCAAAAGGAAAAACTCTATCATACATTCTTAAATTATTATCGTTATAGTATGATTTTCTTCATTTTAACTCTCAATAAAATCAGACATTTATTCCTTAAATTTTTTAAACCGTTCAAATTATCTCCCTACACTATATCTCCCTACACTACTTTGGAGTGGTTTTGAAGGTAGTTTTGTCTCTTTTTGAGTTATTAAAAAGTCAGTAAATACTTGAGGTTTTTGAACAACAGAAAATGACTTTACGCCTTCAAAAATTTTGAAAAAAAATTGAGTTCTCTAAACTGTTCAAATTATCTCCCTACCCTACTTTGGAGTGGTTTTTAAGGTAGTTTTGTCTCTTTTTTAGTTATTAAAAAGTCGG